AAGCCCAGAAACACCCCCTGCACATCCCTCCCCGTCCTCTGAAACGCATACCCAAGGCTCCTGGTCAGGGCTTGTGGCTTACAATTGCACTAAATTCTCAGCAAATCCTCCTCCTTTTCTTTCTCAAAGCAAGTGGTGGAGATAGAGTTACAGCTCTGGGGAAAGGCCTGGAAAATGTTGTGTGAGGCACGCCCCAGGATCCCTGTCCTGAAGGATGCAAATGGCTCAGCTTCAGAGGCACCAGGAACCCAGTTCCCGAGAAATTGACCCCAGTTGTAAAATAATCATGTTACTGATAGCACCTGCCCGTAGTTACACACCATGGATACAGGCGTGTTTCCACCATTTCCCCTCTGCGCTCCCATTTTCTCCTCCTCCTGGGCTGGGCAGTGGTTGGTGCTAGTTTGCTTGCAGAGGAGGAAGAGCCTCAGAGCCTGGGCAGAGAGAAACTGAACCTGCCCGTGAATTTTGAACTGCAGATAAGAGCAGAGAGGGTTCGGGCTCCTCTCCCTCTGCCCGGATTGGGGTGTGTCCCAGGCGCTGGCTGGGTGCTGTCTGCCTGCCCCCTCCCATCCTGAGTTCCCTTTTCAGATTGTGGATCCCTCTGTGAACCACAATGGCTTAGGCCCTTTGGTGCCGAATAAATGGTGGACTTTACCAGCATGCGGGCGAGGCTGCAGCTTCAGGGTGTCTGAGGTCAGAGGTAAGAGGAGTCAGGGCAGCTATCCAGCCAGTCGCATGGGATCTGAAAAGAGGGGCCCAGAGAAATGGGTTGTACTCACTTATTTCCTAATGCAAGTGTCATTAGAGTTTGTTTACAGAGAGAAATTAGTAGACCGAATTCCCTTGAAATTCCAGGAGGGGAAAGCGAGAAGTCTCTGGCTATGACTCTGACTTCTGGGCGAGTAGGGGGAGCACTCGAGGTCTGAGCACCCGCCTGGGGCAAACCTGTCTCCCGGCCTCCCACCGATGCCCCTGGCCTGGGCGTATTTTGCCCCTCTGCCCCGTTGTCAGTGGGCTCTGAGGTATGTGTGCTGGTAATTGCTCCTGGAGCTTTGGCTCAGAGTAAGAGTAAGGGGTGAAGTCACAGTCTGCAGCTGGGGGCTCCGTTTAGCAGGTGAGTTGCAGAGGGATCTTGGGAAGGCTTCTCTCCGAGGTCAGTCCTGAAAGTGAAGGTGTGGAAACTAAGTTTGATTGGGACTTGCTTCCCCACCCCCAAGTTAGGTTTAATGGACTCGGTGGTTCACTTTAAAATATTGCTGTAGCAGCAAGTGTCAAAATCTAATATAGAACCATCCCTCACATAATAGGGACTCATGTAGCAAACCCCGGGGCCGTGAGGAAACTTGCTGGGGAGTATGATTGTCAGTAGAGAGCTGTGGAGGGGATTTCACAGCCCCCCTCCCTCTCTCTGCACTTACAAGTGGGTCAGAGTTTCTTGCTGGTCTCTTTCCCTAGATAACAAGGTCGTGGAGGAAAGGAAGCCTGCCTTAGTCATTATGTCCCTAGCACAACACCAGCTCATAGTATGCGCTCAATAAATGTGTGTCAGCTTTGGAGAGAGCGCAAATATAGCTTAGTCTCCCATGAGTTCCTTTTGGATCTCATCTTGAGACACATTGTTAAGGAATCTGGTTTTGTTGTGTGTTTTTTATTGAAGGGAGGAAGTGTGGTGAGGCAGCCTCTTGGTGTGGTGGCACCGTGGTGTGGGCTCTGGGCAGACTGTCTGGCTTCAGATCCCAGCTCTGCCACTACGTAGGGTGCCCGTGAGTAGGTACCACAAGATAGGCCTGGCCGGGGTGCCTGCTTTATGGAGGGGGCTGTTGCAAGGAAAGCTCATAGACCCTTGCCCTGAAACCCCTGAGTGTGGACACTGCATGCGGCCTTCATTATCAGGTGATTGCAATGTCGATGCAAACGTTAGCCCAGCTCTTCCCGATTTGGGCCATCAGAGCAGGGGGGATAAAAGGGATCATTTTGTGAACTGTTAAGCTTAGGCTTTGCTATAAGAAGGAGACCCTGCCAGCCAGGATCCGGGTTTCCTATGGTCTCCACTCAAGAACTGTATGCAGTGGGACCAAGTCCTTAATTGTCAAACGGATGCCACATTGTCATTAAATACCAGCATCACACCAGGCAATTCAGCCAGTTCAGTACGAGTAAGTCTGCTGTGCTTTGCGGGAGGGTCTAGGGAGCATACTGCCTGGTCCCACACTTTCTTTGTTGTGGTTTGGTTTGGTTTGGTTTGGTCCCCACTCTTGAAAGGGCTTAAAGTTTTTCTGGGGGAGACAGGGCAGAGCCCCACATGCTACAGCTGAGGGGCGGCGGGGATGCCTGCCTGACTGACAGACAGGGCTAATGGTACAGGCAGACAGGTTGTCTAAGAAAGGAATGGTGGAGACTTAGCTGGAGAAGTTGATGGAGAAGGCGGTGTGTTTGGAATTTGGGTCATGGGGCTCCACAGTGGTCTGGGCATTCCAGGTGAGACGGACAGTTGAGCAGAGGCAAGGAGAGTGTGTCTGGGCCTCCAGGGTTGTACACATCTGGCTCTGCCACTTGTTACCTCATGACCTTGGGCGAGTGCCTTAACCCCTTGGAGCCTCAGTTTTCTTATCTGTAGAATGGGGCTGGTGGGCCTGTGTAAGGGTGAAATGAGGTGATCCAAGGGAGCACTTGCCACCTGATAAACTTGGACTTCTGTTGTTGTTTTAAAGTTGACCAAGTAGCATAAGAATGTGGGAGCCGTCAGTGCTGCACCTAGTGGTTCTTGCTTTTCCCTGCTTCTTAGTGGAACTCTCTACAAGCTGTTTTCTGAGCTGGAGACAGCCCTGCCCAAGGCTGTGTGCATCTCGGGAGGGGACACTCCTGTGTGGCTGCTGCTCAAACACACCAGCCTGTGCCACTGCCTGGAGCACTCCTGGGTAGGCTGCCGCAGGCCACCTTCCTCCCTCCCAGCAGGCCTCTGCCTTTGTTCCCTGCAGCGAGGTCCTCCCTGGCCGCTCAGGCACCGGCCTGCAGGCCCCTCTCCCCTCTTACCCAGCTTTATTCTGCTCTGAACCCCTCATCACCACCACCATCATGTGTTTTTCCTGATTGTCCACCTCCCCATCTGGGCAGAGTGCACAGGAGGACCAGCTGTCTTATCCACAGCTGAATTTTGTGCTGGGTTCATAATAGGTGTCCAGTAAATACTGTTGAATGAATGGATGGGGCATTTTGAGTGGATGGGGCTTCCAGATGTTAATACTCAGTCTTTTCAATACAATGAGTGTGTCAGCCGTCAGAGTCAGGAGAGGGCCTTCCTACTCCCACCAGGACCTCCGTTCACACCCTGACCTCAGTGTCCCTGGGTAGCCAGGGGCCCACGCGAGGATGTCCCTGGTCCTGACGCCAAGTGCCTGGCTGGACTCAGTACCTCCAAGGGTCTGCTCCCCACCCAGCAGCCTCGCTCTCAGGTTCTAGCCCATCAGCGCCGGGGAGCGTTTGCTGGCCCTCTGGACCCTTTGTGCAGAGAGAGCTTTCTGAAGGGGCGTGTGCCCCTCCGGGTGTGAGAACGCTGTCTGAGAGAGTGTTTTCACCCAGGGAGGAGTGTGGGTGGACGTGCCTGTGGGAGGGAGGCAGAGTAAGCGCATGTGGGGGTGGGGGTGGGGTGGGAAGAGAGGGGATGAAGACACATGAGGCTCTCCGCCCTCTGAGGCTCTGAGTGTGCTGTGTGGTGACCCCGGAGCTGGGCAGAGCTGGTATCCTGGCCCAACCTGAGTCCTCTGGATTCAGCTAGGAGGGCACACACTCTGGCTGCACAGAAGCCGTAAATTCCAGGAAACTCCCTGCTAGCCCTGCGGAGTGGGGGAGGGGGAGGAGGCGAGGCAGGCGGGTTCCCCAGCACTTGGAGAACAGATGTGTCTGCCTCAGGGATAGCAGCAGAAGAAAGTTCAAACTGAAGTGTGTTTGCTCACTATAAAAGGGATGTTTGTGAGGAGGCCCTGGAGGGGGGCGTGGTGAGGGGGTGCTCCGCCAGGCGTCCTCCCTGGGGCCCACAGAGACCATTGTGTCTCCCCGGAGGGGCAGGGGAGCGGGCAGTCAGAAATCAGGGCTGTGGGAGTTGCTGGGTCATCTTTCTGAGATTTACAGCCAGCTCCCGAGCACAGTTGCTTGCTGCTCCTGGAAGAGGCCGGGCCAGAGGAGGTGGGGTCCCTTCCCCGCTGGAGGGCTGGATTGAAGGGGCCCCGCCCCAGGGGTTCCCGGATGGCTGGCCAAGTGCTCACTGAGGGGAGAGGAGGCAGGCGTGGGCCTCCGCAGCCGGCCCTCCGGCTGTTTGGAAGGCCCTCGCAGTCCCCTAGGCCCTTGAGCCGAACCCCCTTTGCGGTCTGATCTGAACCCTTGCCGGCCCCACCCCCTTCCTCCTCTACGCTCTGGGGCTGGCCTTTTCAGCGCTGGAAGCTGCCCAAGAGCATATCTTTGAAGCACAGCAAAGGTTAGGAAGAAGGAAGACAGAAATGTCCTTTGGGCTGGGGGAGTGGGAGAGAGGAATTCCATGCATGCTCCCTGGGAGTCAGGGTGGTAGGCCTGGTTGGACGATTGGCTTGGCCTGGGAGGTGCCCAGCGCGTCCCGCTGCCCACTTCTGGCAGCCGGGCCCTGCTCACAGCGGGCCCTCTCCCCAGGCTCACTGGGTAGGGAGTGGGGAGCTGTGGCCTTTGTTTACAGCGCCTGCTTCAACCTTGGCTCACAAGGGTAAGAGCCAGGCCCTGCCATCCGCCCCTACAGGATGCGAGACCTCGTAATTGTCTTCAATTACAGAGCTCCGGCCCTCAGCCCTGGCTTCCGACAGGAACCAGAGCCCGAGCCACTTCCACGGGGGCTCCCAGCCCCCTCTGCAGGGTTGGGAGGCTCCCGTGGTCTCCGGAGCACTTGCAAATGCCTGGGGTTCACTCACGGGGCTGCCTGGGGGCTGCTGAGAGCCCGTCCCTGTTGAACACCCACCTTCTTTGTCCCCCACCAGGATGAGACTTCTGTGAGCAGTGAAGATTTTGATATGAACGACTCCACATGGATGTCAGCTGACCCACACCTGGCCTCCAGCCTGAGCCCCAGCCAGGACGAGAGGATGCGGAGCCCACAGCATCTCCACAGCCAAGAGGACGGTGAGCATCTCGGCGGCTGGCGGGGGGAGGCCGTGCAGGACCTCAGGCGCCTGGGGATCTGGGCCAGGACCTCGGGGGTGGCCCAGGCTTACAGGTGCCCCACAGTGTCCTCCGCGTCTCCTGGGCCCCACGTCCAGCTCCTGGCTCCAGGGAGACCACGTCATTCCTCCCAAAGAGAAAGGAATGGCTCTCGGGGACCGGTCGCCCGACGGGCATCACGCTGGCTGTTTGTCCTGATGCTCAGGAGCTGATGTGATTTCTGAGTTATAACGATTCAGGTTGGGAAGGTTAACGGTGTGCTTGACCCGGAACAGCTCATTTGTGCGGCAGTGAAAGCAAGCGCCGGGCTTCTGCCGCTGCCGGGAAGGGTCCCTGCCTGTCACCTGGCGGTGGAGCGGGCAGTGCCCTTGTCCACGTGTCCCCAGGCTCATGGGATGAGATGTGGCCAAGCTGAGGAGCTATCTGGACTCTTCCCTACCCTGGTTCTGTGCCTCCTGGGCCTTCCAGGCACCGCCTCCCGCAGCCCTCCTCTTTGGGGTGGGAGAGTTGGGCTCAGGAGTCACGCCCAGCGGCTACTGCAGTGCCCCCTGGTGGCAGCCCCAGGGTGCTGGGCACGGGCTCCGGTGCCTGCCTCAGTTAGGTGCTGTTGGCCTCAGCTGGCACCCGTGGTCAGTGTCCTGGCCGGGTTCTGTTTTCTGGGGAGGCGGTGACTGGGGGCAGGGGGTGAACCACACCAGGCCTCAGAGAACTGGGGTGTAGAGCTGGCAATTAGGAGGGGTCGAAGGTCGGGGCCTGGAATGTGAGAGGGAGGTGCAGGGTTAAAAAGGGGTGTAATGTCAACTCTGTGAAACGGGTTAGCCTTAAAGAGTAAATACAGGGTAGGAGCCTTGCAGTTTGGGTCAAAGTTCATCTCCATGGCAGAACCACTTGCCTCTGACTGCCTTCACAGACCTGAATCCGGCTTTGTCTGGGAGGAGACTCGGCCTGGAGGCAGCTGGGTGGCTGGGCCAGGGCCCGGGCAGCTCAGGAGGTGGTTCTCTGAGAAGAGGGTGCAAGGCCGCTGGGAAAGAAAAGGCTTTTGTGCCTTCTACCTCGTGAGGTCAGCACAGCCCCCTGTGCTTCAGGCCTCCAGACCAGCACTACCTCCTGCCTTTCCCAGCAGGTGGGGCCTGGGCGGGGGCCGCCGCCTGCTGCGGGGGCGCTGAGGCCGGGAAGTGCCCAACAGCTGCCCTGCCTCCTCCTCTGAGGCGATTGATAGCCACCAAGGCTACACCAAGGGCCCCACCACAAAGCGCAGCCGAGGGTGTCAGTTATATTTTCCCAAGAAGGATCCAGAACATGTTTTTTTAAAGAAGGAGAGTATTTTATTTTTATTTTTTATATTTTTATTGATTTCAGAGAGGAAGGGAGAGGGAGAGAGAGAGAAATATTAATGATGAGGATCATTGATTGGCTGCCTCCTGCACGCCCCCTACTGGGGATTGAGCCTGCAACCCAGGCATGTGCCCTTGACCAGTAGCAAACCTGGGACCCTTCAGTCTGACGCTTTATCCACTGAGCCAAACCATCTAGGACCAGAACATTTTTTTTTTTAACTCAGAGCAATAGGACTGAATGCGGCCCCAGCTTATTCCAGACCTAAGTCTTGTGGTATCACCCTCGGAGGTCTGACCTCTGTTCGAGACAGTTCCAGGGAGATGTGGTGATTTGGGGGGTCTCCGGGATCAGGTGGCAGAAGGGAGTGTTTCTGTGCGGTCACGGGGCTTCCTCAGCATCGCTGGCCCCCTGCCAGGCCGTGAAGATGAAGCGGAGAGAAGCCAAGAGGCTGGTGGGGTCAGCGTCCTGCAGCGGGTCCCGCAGGAGCCTTGTGGGGAGCCCAGCCTGGGTGTGGCCACTGATACTCCCCTCACCTCGCCCCTGCCGTTCTGGTCCCTCCTGGCCTGGTGCTGGGCTGGGCAGGCTGGCCTGCTGACAGAACACGGGTGTTTATCAGGGCGGGCAGCCAGAGCTGGAGACAGGGAGGATGGTGTTGACCATGATACCATCAATTTAATTATTTAATCAGAGGCTGTGTCTGGAGGCTGTGGGCCGATGTGCTGGCCAGAGGCCAAGCTAGGCCCAGTGTAGGGGGTCGCAGGCCTTGTGGATGCCCAGCCTGCTGGCCCTTCTGGTCCCAGGTCTGTTGGTGACTGACCGCCATGTCAGACCAAAGCAGTGGGCTCCCAGAGGGTTTTGGCTGACACAGCCCCGGCCTGGGGTCCTCGTCCAGCCCTCCAGCCCCCGCAGTGGCATGCAGCCAGCTTCCTTCTCTGGAGGAACTTAGAGTGCAGACACAGCCTGACTCCCGCTCCTGTCAGGGAGCAGCGGGAGACCCCGGGCTGAGGGTGTTCTCAGGTCCCCTTCGTTAATGAAGGTGGGGACAGGCCAAGCAGGAGCTCTGGTTGGTGCTGCACACTACACCCAGCCACAGCCCCGCACGGTCTCCACTCCCTGCTCAGATTCCTTCATCCAGAAGCTTCCCAGGCCCACTGACCAGCTCTCACCCTTGGAGGTGGCAAGCTTCTGGGCCACATGTCTCCAGAAGCTTCCTATGCAGTGGCCACCGTGAGCTCTGAGATGTGGGCCATGTCAGTGCTGCTCTGCTCTGTCCCAGTGCCGGGAGCTGCATGCCAGGCACATTGGAGGGGCCTGCTGAGCACTCGCGGTCTCAATGAATAGAGGAACCACTTTTTAAGACCTGCCAGAGAGCGTATAGGTCTGCCCCTTGTTGGGGACAAGTTGGGTTTCCCCTCCTCCTTCTCTTCCTCCTCGTCGTCGTCGTCATCCTCCTCCTCTTCCTCCTCCTCACTTTTCAAGTTTTAACAAAGGCAGATGAAGGCAGGGCAGGTCCCGGGTAGTGACAAACAGGCTGCCATCCCTCCCCTCCCCACCCCCCAGCTTTTCTCGAGGTTTACCCGCCAGTGGGAGTAAAGAAAGTGTGCTTGCAATGAAATGAGCTTATTTTTATTCGCCGAGACCTCCACTGCCTGCAAGGCTTTCCTCACGGATCTCTCTCTAGCCCGTTCTCAGCTCCCTGAATCACAGCCCTCGGCCGGAGCACCCCTTACAAGGCCCTTCCTCACGGGCTGTGGCGGCTGTGCGAGCACATCCCCTTGGCCTCCCGTCAGGAGAGGAAGCAGGACCAGGGAGCCGAGTTGGGCCGTCTGGCCTGAGGCAGGGGGTGCGGAGGCTGCCCTCTCCTCCCTGACAGGTGTCCAGGCCATGTGTGAGCTTCTGGGGACCAGGTCTCGATAAACAGTTGTTCCTCTGTTCCCTAGAAACGGGCCCGGGAGCCTGGGAGCCAAAGGAGGCCCCCACGCACACCCAGAGCATTGCCTTCTCAGGGGCCCGGAGTGACCCCTCCTGAGCCGCTCACACACAGCCAAGTCCCCTCCGGGCCACCGCGAAGCCTGCTGAGGCTCTGGGCTTTCTTTTGAGTCCATACAGCACCCTGGTCTCCTCACCGAGGCCGGGAAAAGCACTCTGGCCCAGGGGCTGCTTTTTGGGGTGGGAGAGAGGACGCCCGGGAGAAGTCAGCTGTGGAGACTGCCCGGAGATGCTGTGGTCTGGTGCTGACTTGGGACTGAACAGCATGCAAGTCTGTAATTATGCTCTGTCGGTGGATTATCTGATGCCCAGGTACCACGAGCACCCGGAGAGCACAGGGCCTGGCCCAGAGCAGGCAGATCACAATGCCTGCTGGATGAACGAGTAAACGAAAGAATGAACAAAGGCAGGTGAGCCAGCAGGCCTCCTGACCATCAGGGAGGTGGGTCTCAACGCCAGCAGGCAGCAGCAGCAGGCCAGGGCCCCCTCCTTCCATTTCCTCCTGATGTGCTTCACCAGGCCTCTCGCTCTGCCCCTTCCTGAGCGGAAAATGTGAGGCCTGGCCTTCAGCAGGACACGTGGGGGTGGGGAGCGGACATTACTCACCCCCCGGGCAGACAGGAAATCAGCCCCAGGAGGACCGAGGGTCCTGCTTCCTTTTTCCTGCAGGGTCATCAGGAGTTGCCGGCTGGGCGGTGTCCTGGGGCGGTCCAGGGCCTCTTGTCTGAGTCTCTCCGATGAGACGCTCCTCTAGCCTCGGGCCCCCAGGACCCCCTGCGTCTCGGCGCTTCCTTCCCTCTGGGGAGCGGGAGCCGCCCGAAGGCCTGGACCTCCCCCCAGTGCCCGTTACCCACCGCGAGGCCTTGGGTCCTTCCGGGCTCCTGTCAGCTCTGTCTGTGAAAGCCAGCCGCTCTGTGGCACACAGACCGTGGGGAGCCCACTGCCTGCAGGAGCCTGCCCTTTGCCAAAAGCTCTCTGAGGGCAGAAGGGGCATCTCTGAAGAAATGTATCTTATTTTTGCCTTATTTCTAAAGCATTACATTCAATGTAAACATTTTAGGAAAAAAATAGAGAAAAAATGAAAATAAAAAATATCAGTGTTTGGGGCATATTTTTCTAGATCTTCTCCGTGTGTATAATCAATCTCACTTTCTTCAGAAAAGGGATGGGGGGGGACCATGTCGTGGCAGCCATCTTTTCCCCACTCAGTGTCGTTTGCCTCTGTGACTGAAGTGGAGTTTTTAAAGGGGGTTTGGCTAGTCAGTGACCGGGAGCCCCGTGCTGTGCCCTCTGGGTGCTGGGTCCCAAGCTGGTGACACGTGGGGACACTGAGTCAGGGCTGTGACTGCTTTTCCTACAGAGAAGGAAGTGACCCGACTCCAGAACCAATGGTTGGGCCACTCATGGGGAAGGACATCACAGTCTCCCTTTTGCTTCAGTAAAAACAGTGCCTTGCCCTGGCTGGTTCGGCTTAGTGGGTAGAGCATCAGCCTTTGGGCTGAAGAGCCCGGTTCGATCCCAGTCAGTGGCACATGCCTCAGTTGCAGGCTTAATCCCCAGCTTTTGTAGTGGTGCATGTGGGAGGTAACCAATCGATGTTTCTCACCGATGTTTCTATCTCTCCCCTCTAAAAA